TTCCAGGATTTACATAACATGGGAACCCTGAACCTCCAGAGCAGTTCTGGCTTTTTCTAAACCTCTTGTCCTCTAGACCTTGACTGGAACTTTAGGCCTTAGACCAGGGGTGTCAAACTCATTTTGGTCCGGGGGCCGTATCCAACCTACTTTGATCCCAAAGGGGCCGGATCAGAAAACTCATGTCATATAAACCCCAAAAATAACAATAAATTCAAATATTTGTGCAGAGAAACGTGAATCTATTACAGAAATCTTTTTTAATTGATGAACTCTTTCTTTTACAAAAATATAACAACCTGAAACTTTAAGAAAAATACAATTTCAACACAATGTTTTAACATGAACTTGTATGTAAATAGGAATAAGTAAATTTTTCTTGTAAAATCCTGCACTCGGCTCCACTTTTCTCATGTTGGACATTTTTCTGATGAGGGTGTCACGGTCAACAGTCAAAACGATCGTCCTTTAAGAGCGTTTGGAAAGAGACAAGTCTTCATTTGTGCTGCTCTGGTGGGAGGGGCCACGTACAGAGACGCTGGAGACGCTGCTGTGATAAACACCACAGAAAATAAACAATATTTTAATAGAAAATGTAATTCAAATATTTTAGTAGAAAATCACGCAAGGGCCACATTAAAGGTCTTGGAGGGCCGGATCTGGCCCCCGGGCCGTATGTTTGACACCTGTGCCTTAGACAGAATATTACAGTGTGGTCAGTGGTCAATACTTCTGTTTCTGTTTGTGAAGATAAACCATTTGAGATTGATTTGACAGAAATCAGTGCATTATTATCAGAGACTTTGCTAAAAACACTCAATATAATCCCTCGTTTTTGCCAGTCAGTAATATTAAAACCACTGCGGCGAAATTTCCACACGGAACCTACCAAATCGAAACCCATTGATGGTCATCTTTTATTTTTATTTCTCCGTCTCTCGTCTTTTGCTCTGTACAAATGCTAAAAGTGAAACAAATTTCCGTGGCAATTAGACTGTGCTGTGCGGAGGGAGCAGCTATCTGAGCAGAACCAGTCCAAATGGCTCCATAGAAAAGACCACGCCGCCATAATTACGCCAGTATTGATTGCACTGCTCGCCTTATAACGTTCACTTACACCTTTTCTTCTGCCTAACCATGGAGAGAGGGAGCGAGGGAGAGGAAAAGGGGAGGGCGGGGGGATGAAGAGAGAGAGAGAGAGAGAGAGCAGGTGGGAGAAACTAAGAAGGAATTGAGGGAGAAAAGAAAGAAAGGGGAGAGAGAAAAGAGGGGGTCAGGGAAAAAAAGATGGCACGGTCGAGACTAAGAAGCGATGTATGTAGACATTAAGGTGCACTGCGTAACATTTCTACGTCCGCCACCTGCTTGTCTCCATGGAAATATAATTGCTTTATCAAGAACAAGGCTCTCTTACATTTTTTTCTCTAGTGAGCTACTTTTACAAAACGACCAAAAACCAAATAGCTGCTCATTTAATGGTCGCAAGGAATTGAATAAAGAAGCATCAATTAGACATTTGCAAAGGTAATTATGGTCTCGAATGTTCCACAGTACAGATTAAACCCATCTATCACCATCTACAGCACTATGCTCCATTACAGGTCACATCTGCAGAGAGTCACCCCTATTCACAGAAGGAATTATACGGTATTTTTGAGCAATAGAAACACTTAATAGATGTTAGATGGAAATGTTTAACGTCTTACCATGGACCATTTCAGACAAAGCAACAGTATCTCCATGGAGACAAGGAGGTGGTGGACCCTCTACCTTAAGTGGACAAAGTAAGGAGGAGGAGAGAGTGGAGTTTGAGATGAGTGACAAAGAAAAAGATGGCAATGAGAGGAAGAAAGTAAGGAGGAAGAGATGTGGAGAGGTGGGATGGAGGGACAAGAACAGAGAGGAAGTACGTAAGTTTTTATTTATATAGCGGTTTTCACAGACATACACTACCGGTCAAAAGTTTTAGAACACCCTAATTTTTCCAGTTATTTATTGCACTTCAATTCGTGCAAGTCCAATGAAGAGCTTGAAATGGTACAAAGGTAAGTACTGAACAGAAAGAGGTTAAAAAAAAAGATAAAAGATACAAAACACAAGTCCAAGTTCTGCAAAAACTACCTCAGGAAAAAAGAACAAGACGGTAACGCTTGAAAACATGGAGTGTCCAGTACAGTCTCCAGACTTAAACCCCATCGAGCTGGATTGGGATGAACTGGACAGAAGAGTGAAAGCCAAGAATCCTGCAAGTGCCACACATTTATGGGAGCTTCTGCAACAGACTTGGGAGGATCTTTATGAAGAATACTGTAAAAAGAACGAGCCATGAGTGTGTTCAGCTGTTATATCTGCCAAAGGTGGACACTTTCATGAATCAAAAGTTTAGAATATGTTTTGGTCAACAGTAAACGGGAAAAAATAGAAAAAGTATGGTGTTCTAAAACTTTTGACCGGTAGTTGAGAGTGAGGTGAGTGACAGGAAACAAATGGTAGATATGGAGAATTCTTACGATATTGGTGAGTTCATAAACTCACGAGAACCCATCTTACCCCACTCTTGGTATGTTTCTGTTGGTACGATGGGCCCACCTGCTGGTTGGCGGACCAATCACGTTGCAGCATTGTGGTTTGTGCAGAAAGGAGAAGAAATCATAACAAACCAAAACAAACATGACGACACCAACAGATATTTTAATGAAATTTACAGAGATTTTGTTCTCGAATAACATGCAAAAGGGATGCACTAAGACGACATATTTTGTCTCCTCCTGTTTGGACTTCCAAGACTTGCATCACACAATTCTGACCTGCCTTCCCCCCTCAATTTAAAACTAGTCTGAGATAATATCACACAACCTTAACAAGTCCAAACTCCTTGACACCCCCTTCGCACCATTTATAACTCCTTTCCTCCATCTCTCCCTCAACTCTTAACACGAACTCTTCAGACTTAACTGGGCCTCACCTCTTTACCTGAATCACCCCCTCCGCGTTGCCCATTCATCACATAAGGATTACCCCCAACACGTCTGCCCCTCTCTGCCCCCTCTTCTGCTGTCTCACACCCCAAACCCCCACACGCCCATTTCCTTTTAGCCAAAGTCGTCCCAGCCTCTGTCAGCGGTGATAAATGCGTCCTGCTTGGCCTATGAGAATCCGCTGTGTATTTTCCGACGTGTTAAACAGTGGCAGGAGTAAAGCAGTGGATGGTGGGACAGGAGCACGGGGACTTGTCCTGGGAAGGTTGTCAGCTGTAGGCAGGCCGCCCCCTCACGCTGTCCCCGTCAGAAGCCCGGCCATGGCCCTCCCAGGAGCCCTTGAGCCAGGCACCAGGTTGGCAGTAATGGAGTTTTATTTTAAGGACAGTTTTGCAATGTACGACACAGTACAAAGGACGGATATTATTCAAATGCACTTACCGTATTTTTCGGACTATAAGTCACTCCGCAGTATAACTCACATAAAGAAAAATGTGTAATGAAGAAGGAAAAAAAACATGTATAAGTTGCACCGAACTATAAGTCGCACTTTTGGGGGGAAATATGTTTTATAAAATCAGAGACCAGGAACTGACATTTCATCTTAAAACGCAAGTTACAGTAATAATAACAATAGAGCAGAGAACAACAGACTGTTAACGTGACATATGAACAGTTCTTCAGATAAACTATAGCATAAACAACAGAACAGAACAAGTTTATCAAACTCTTGATCCAGAAAAATTACATGAATGCACCTTCCCGCTGGTCACAAGTTTCCCGCTCATTCCAAACTTTCTTTTTGCTGCTTGATTACCATTTTCAGCTCCATATATTGCTACTTGCGGCTTGTAATCTACAAAGCATAATGTTTTTGCTCAGTCTTCTCAGTTGTGTTTAAATTAGTACAGAAGTAATGGTGCAATCGACAGACATGATACAGAAAGGACAGAGGCTCTTTCTGCAGGAGACACGCGCAGTAAAGTGACATTGGTACAGGAGTAATAGTAGCAGATACTGACACACGAGCCAAGAGCGCCCTCTTGTGGCTGTCAGTGTGAAAATTTTAATATATAAGTCGCACTGGAATATAAGTCGCAGGAACCATGAAAAAAAGTGCGATTTATAATCCGAAAAATACGGTAAATGAGCTTTTAACCATGTTCTAATGGTTCTCCCTCATCATTACCTTTACATTTGACTTTTACCTTTACTTAATTTTATTTTATTTTTTTATTTGCAACATAAAACAAGCACACAGACATTAGATAGGACAGTAGAAGACAATACAAAAGCATACAACGCCACAGCAGATGAAGAAAATGTATATGTGTATATGTGTAAGAGTGTGAGTGTCAGTAAATGTAAATGACTAATTTATGTATATTAATGTATGAATTTTAACAGTATATTGGAGGGATCAACTCAACATTGAGAATAACGATAAATATATATTATGAACTACATACAGTTAATATCGTACTTCTGATATTATAACAGTACCTTACCATATAAAGAGTTGTATTTTGGATTATTCATGCATGTATGAAGGCATAATATTCTGTTTTGTTGACTTCCTTTTCTACTTTAATCTGCATTTTTTAACCTGGCCAGTAAGAAGACAGAACATCATGACTAATATTTGAATCTGACGGGTTGAAGGTTCACAGTTGCGGAACAACAATTTTTTTTCAAAAATCGACTGAAGTTCATTGGTGTTGTTGGATTTTGTTTGTTTGGGTGGTTCACCTTCACCTTGCGTGTTCCCATCCAAACTGCAATGCTGCCCTCTGATTAGTCCAGTATCTGAACTAACGGAGGCCAGAGTCGCCAATCGTAATAGCGGCAGCCTGAAACGACGAATCTCACAAATATCTTGAGAAGTCATTTCGCTGGCCATGTTAACAATTTCCACCTTAAAGGAGAAACCAGATATTACGTCCATAACATTATGACTTGAGTGATATGTATTAATTCAACTGTAACTCTATTATTTATCTGTTTATCTCCATTTGTTTTTAGAGCCCAAGGTGATCACCCTGACCGTTGGAAACCAGTGGGCCTACAAGAAGATCTACAACGTCATTGGTTATCTGAAAGGGAAGAAGAATCCAGGTACACATCCTAGTACATATGGACACATAAAGCAGCATTATAGTCTGTCTTTTTAAATACAAAAGTTGATTAAATATAAGTTTAGACAGTTTGGGTGAAGTTTGAATCATCTGTACCCAAGAGTGAACCATGACAGAAGAGCATTTGTTTGGGAAAGTCAGTGCCAGCAGTGCTCTCCTCTTCTCTTCTGTTTTTCTCTTGGCAGCTGCGGGTTTGTCATGGCTGGGTGTCTGTGGTTGTGCAAAAGCAGTTGTCCTTGATTAGTGATGCACAGTTAAACCTGCAGACCAGACTTTAATCACACTGTGGTCCAACAGTCGCTACACTCAGAGCCTCATTGGTGCTACAGGTTCCTCCCTCTCTGATTAGCCCCAGGTTCACTTAAAAAGCTTACTTACCAGCTTATGTTTTGAACGGGGGTGAAACGTAACTACAAATACTTGTGTTACTGTAATAATAAGCTGGTTATTTAAGTGATTGTGCTTTTTGCTAAGTTTTAAAGGGCCCATATTGTTTCATTCACATGCTTCACACCTTATTAAGTATATTAAGTCTGAGATCTTCTTTCAAGCAGAAAGAATCAAGAATCAATCAGAATTGGTATGAAGGACACATTTGGCCATAGTTTGGAAATCCCTGATCCACAATTATGCTTAATTTCACATGTCAGTTTTGTCAAATTTCAAATAAACCTTCATGAAATTAGGGAAAAGGTGAGCGTTAATGATTTTAGATGTTATTGCTTTTGTTTAGGTTTTTCTATTTTTTTAATATTAAAATCTAATCTTGCTGATTAAAATAAATATGACCAATTTTTCAAGCCTTTTCACAATCAGTACCAAATTATCACTGCTTAATTTGACCACAAAAAAATATCCACCCAAAGCAATCAAATCAAAGCACATTTCCATACACTACCAGTCAAAAGTTTGGACACAGTCTATCATGTTTCTTTTAATATTTTTTTCATTACTTATTCTGCTTTCTACATTTTAGATCCAAAATTAATGATCAACTAAATATATTTTATATTTTGTATTCAAATATGTTCAAGTAGTTACCTTTATTTTGTTGATAGCGCTGTAAAAACATGTCCTTCTCTCAATGACCCTCTTGATGAAATCTCCTGAAATGGTTTTCACTTCAGAGCCGTGCCACATCAAGGTCAAGAAATGCCAAAAAATTGTTATTAAAGCAAACAGTGTTTTTTTTTTTTTTTTGTGTGTGTGTAAATCGAAAACAAGTTTGCTGTTATTTTGAGTAATTTGTTTGCTATATTAAGTGTATGTCCAAATTTCTCACTGGTAGTGTATATCAAACTAACCTTGGTCTGGTCACCCCTTTGGGCGATAAGGTCAAATACCTAATCATGTAAATCCAGTGAGGTTCTTTTTTTCAGATCAGGTTTGTTTTCATGCATAACTGCTCTCTAGCGGTCTTCCTCAGAGTGATCATATGATGTTGTGTGACGTGTGACGTGTCCGGTCAGCTGATTTAAACAGTTTTTGACTCTGCTTTTCTACTGGTGAAGGCAAGACGACTTTGCCATCTGCAGTTTCAGGTGTGTGAGGGCAAAAAGGCCCCCTCGTCCCGGTTTATAGTCCCGTGGGTGCGTTGCCTCCTTAATCCAGCGATGAAGTTTGTTGTTCTCTGCACCAATGATGTTAGTTTGTTGTCCTCCTTCCCAATGATCTTTGCTTCAACCCCAATGGACTATAAACAGGGACGAGGGGGCTTTTTCACTCTCATACACCTGGGATTGGTTACAGTAGCTCAGATGGTAGATCGTTCGTTCACTGATCCGAAAGGTTGTCGGTTCGAATGCCGCTCTTGTCATAAACATCAGTAGTACAGCGATCAGATCCACTGACCCACAGCTTGGCGGTGTAATTCCCGGTCTCACAGACGAATATTGTCATTGTGTCCTTGGCCAAAACTCATAATCCACCTCACCCCTAGAGTCTGTGTACAGTGGGGTATGAATGTGTGTGTGTGTGTAAATGGCTGAGTGCTTTCTTAATGTTCTTAATGCTCTTTGAGTGCCTCGAAGGTGGAAAAACGTTGTATAAAAATGTGACTACCATTACCATACTATTCAGAAGAAAACTGTAGATGGCGCTGTCGCTTTGCCTCCACTGGTAGAAAAACAGCACCAAATGCTTTTTACATAACCTGGCAACATCACATGACCACTCCAAGAAATACCGGTACTGAGCAATTGAAATTGAATTGAATGATATGAAAACAAACTAAACCTTGGTCTGAAAAAAACATCTATTAAAATACATTATCACATATTCTGCTGTTACCTCTTTCAATCTGACATGAAGTACTGGCTTTACCCTGTGCCAGGACTTCCCTTCAAATCACGCAGGATCCAGTGTTTTTGGTGTTGCTAAATGAGGCCTGCACAGACATATGAGCGCGTGTTAACATGCTGTTAAAGTGTCTCCCGTGCTGCAGATTTGTGGCCTGTATTATGTGCTTTATGGCCCATTATGGAGCCTAATATCACACAGTAAATCAGAGGGTGATTCTGCACCGCCACGGGCCAGGACAGGTACAGTGTAAAAGTGTGCTACAGCGGAGGAGGTGGAGGAAGAGGAAGAGGGGAGGGAGGGAGGAGGTGGTCTGCTTAGAGAGGAAGTCTGTGCCAGATATAGAACGAGTGATCAGTTAAGCAGACCTATTGTACAAAATTGACTTTTTAGAGCTTTTAACCTCCATAGTTGTTTCTTTTCTCACTTACCTTCTCGAAGTTGTATTTGGATGGATTTGTGCATGTTTGACCAATTTTTAATCACTTTTCAAGACGCCATGCCCCCGTTTTCATGACCACCGGCATAAGCCCACTGTTCTCCTTACTTTGTTCTCCAATTTTAGTGACATGTAAGATTCAGCAGCGTCGTGTGGTCATTTTGGCACAGATGAATGAAAAAAATCTGCATCTGTCTTGCGTGATGTACAGCTGTCCATCTGAGGTGCTAACTCTTTGTTGTGATGATGGTAGATGGGAGCTGACGTTGTAGTTTTCTAACACGGAAGTCAGCGGACCTTTCTTTTATTAACTCGTTTTAGATGAATATTGCAATTTAAAATATGCAAATAATAACATAATGATCCACGGTGTCATAGATTATAATTATATAACAAACAAAAGTACAATATGTGAGTTTTTTTTCAGCTGAAAGGTCCGTCAAATCCTTTTCTCCATGGAGATGGAGAAAAGCATTGTGGAGAGGCAACTCCGCTCAGTCAGAATTCTGTTTTTCGAGCTATAAAACCACCTGTAACTGAATAAAATGTAAGGTACAGTTAACATATTCATAGAAACAAGCAGGTGACAGATCCCTAACCAAAAAGTTACACAGTACACCTTTAGTAGTACAAGTATGATGTGGCAGTGTCACATGGTCATTTTAGTACAAGCATGATCGGCAGCTATCCATCAGAGGTACCGACTCTTTGTTGTGATGATGTTTGAGTCGACGTCAGCTCCCTTTTTGAAGGCTCTAATCACGCTCACTTCACAAACCAGGAAGATATTTGGAAAGATGAACTTCCCAGGCCCAGTTTTCTTCATCTCCATGTCATTGTAGCGTTCTCTTATGTTCAGCAAATCAACAGTTACAACCATACCTCAGTTTTCATCATTTCTTCAATGACACACAACTCCGAGCGCACTGGGTAGATGCGATTAAAAGAGACGAGGACGCCAAATTCAAGATGATTCCAAACAGCACATACGTATGCAGTCTTCATTTTACTGCTGATCACATTTACTTCAGCGGGTTTTATCACAGTCGGTCGGTGAGCCCAGTGTCAGAAAATACATCGGAAGTTGTAATTACATCTTTCCAAATATCTTCCTGGTTTGTGACGTAACGTGACTAGAGCCTGTTACGATTTAAAGTGTCTAAATCACAACATAATCATCCACGGGTGTCACAGATTATAGTTATATAGCAGACAAAATCACAATATGTCTTGAACATAAAAATAAACAGCTCAAAATTTACCTAAAACCTTATTAGCTATTTTCTATTACCACTGTTACATTCAAGCAAAGTGAACAACAGCTTTTAATCACTGCCTTCTTGAACAAATTCCACACTCTGCCTCAAGACGAGCTTTGTGCGTATTCAACCGTCTGCTACTGTCCGCCTTGGCTCAAAAAAGAAAAGAAAATTAACTGTGCGTTTATAAGTAGCTACTCCATTCTATGGCGAAAATACACACTTATATTTAAAGAAGCTCTCATGTCACTGTTCTATTGACTTGAAGAACCCGTTTCATTTAATTATAAACAATGAGGAGGACTTATAATGGAGGCGAAAAGTGTTAAAAACAGAATCCGTCGTTTTCCTTCTATACACTATTTTAATTAAAGTCAAATAATAATATGCGTGAGAATTCAATGCCACGGAATAACAAAGCACTTCAAAGTTGTAGCCTTCGTCAATGCATTTGGTTTTGATGTAAATTAATATTGCATTCTCTTTGTGCGTTTAATTAGAAAAAATAATTACAATTTTACATGTAGAAATCGAGCTTTACAAATCTGCGCTATTCATAATAATTAACAAGGAGTACTGATTTTTTATTTATTAAAAGCAGGCAATTTGTTAGAACTGTATCAATTTAAAGGTGTGGTATTTTGAGAAATCAAGCTTTCTGCCGTGTTGTAATGGTTTTCTCTTGTCAAGAACATGCCTGAAGTGGTTTTGTATATCATCCATGCATGTTTGAGTAATTTAGTGATCTCTCCCGGGCCCTATACGAACCCTCTTTACGGTTAGAAGTGTGATCATGACCAATGCTCAGCCCACAAGCCTATGTCACCCAGGGTCCCACACGACAGTTCTCCACAAATATACAAAAAACATGACACAAAACTGTACATAGCAACTCGACAAGCCTGATGTGATGTGTAGTAGTTTTATACGCTGGCTGTGTGCTGATTGTGTTGTGAAAGAGATGTGACTTAACTCGGGAAGCAAAGGTAGCGGGGACTAAGAGCATCAAAATCGAAAGTGAAGCTGATAATTTGTTGTTTTTGGTGACTATTAGCCAGGCTGGAGCCATCTGGTGTCGCTCAAATTCATTCCTCTCCAGCGACTAGGTCAGGAATTGGAATACACGGAAGTTGTAGACCGCGCAACGGCCAATCAGCGAAGAGCTGTGAAGCCATGACGTCAAACTCAAGCGCTTGTCTGGGTCCCTTTTGTGGACCAACACAACAGTAAACAAAGCGGTCGAGATGGATGTAGACGAAGAAATACATTCTGTGTTTGCAACGATTCCCGAGATCGAGGATTTAAAGCCGGAACAAAGAGAATGTTTGGTGAGTTTTATCAAGTGGAAAGACGTTATTGCCCTTCTCCCTACGGGATTTGGTGCATTACATACGTCATGATCAAATAGCAGCAATAGCAGCAACCCTGAGGAGAGTGTGAGGGCTAATGCTGTGAGGTCAGCACAATGTGAAACCGGTTGATGCAAGATAACATGTTGATTTAAAAATGATATGTGTTAGCAGTTAAGACCCTATAGAAGTAAGAATATTCAGTGTGTTTTCTGACCTCTTCTTTTAGTTTCGGGTTCTTGAATAGTACCTGATATTGTTGTCTACTTATCTCCACTTGAATCACACTTTCTTTTTCTGTATATTCGTAATGTACTGTATTGTTTAGAAAAGATTCTGCCTGGTGGACACTGGTGGTGGTGTTTGAAGAGGAGCCGAGGAGGCTGAGGGTTTTGCTACTGTGAAGAAAAAGGCGTGAACAACAGTTTAAAAACCTATCAATTATCAGAATTATATCTTGTAAAATGTCTCAATTCTCCAGGTTAATCTGGTCAATCAGATTATCTCCCTGATGGTTATAAGGTTTCAGGTTTTTCATGAGCTTCAACCTTTTATATGCAACATTTTATGGACTTTTCACAATTCCAAAAATGTGAAATTTAGTTTTAGATTTAGACTTAAACTAAACAAACTTTATTGATGCACAAGGGAAATTATTTGGAAAAGGGAAATTATTTGGATTTTTAAATTGTAAATGTCAATTATATAAATCTTTTTAATGTTTTTTAATTAAGTAAATTATCGAAAAAAGTTGAAACATGTATTGTATTTGTCTTTTTCCTTTGTGTTTCCAGACCGATACGTGCTGGTTGGCAGTCACCACGACGCCCAGCGAGGGGGCGGAGCTTCGGCCATCCTGACGGGACTCATCGCGGCCTTCTCGGATCAGACCAAGAAGGGCCTCATGCCGGACCGGACCACCGTGTTCTGCTCGTGGGGGGGTTCGGCCCTCGGGAACATCGGCTCCTACGAGTGGGGAAAGGTCAGGAACACAACTGTGAAATGTCACGACTCTGTGGATAATTAAGATGTAGAAATAATAGACTCTACGCAGATGGATTGATACTGTATGTGTATCACTCTGACTTGAGTTCTACACATTATTATCTGGGGCGGCGATCTTGCCTATCCACAGATCTGACCTGTAATTTGACCTGGTAGATTCATTTGCTCGTCTGTATGGAATCAATACATTTAAGGTCGTATATTCAAGTCAAATCCTCCAGCTAAAGTAGTTCTGACCAAGACTAGCTCAAGATCTGGAGATGGGTCCCACTGCTCCTGACAGGTTACCCCAGCAGCAAGGATGGGTCAAATGCAGAGGGCAGATTTTCTTAACTTGATTATACCTTACCAAATGTATTTCCCACTTTCTGAACCATGCAGAAATTTAGGTCTAAAATACAAACTTTTAGACCAGACTCAATTTCAGAACATCATGTATTTTTGGCAAAGCAGAAACTGGACAAAAGTTGGTCAGATATGTTTTGCAGCTCATCCAAGCTGCTTTTTCAGTTCTGGTCAAAATGCTGGTGTTTACTTCTTTATATCTGCCTGCAGGGAGGAGCTAACTATAGTGAAACTACTCTGATACTAACACACTTACTTGTTTAAAGTTTCTGTTGGTTAGTTAGGCCTATTGAACTTGCACTGAGTGTGGGGTCATATTAACATAATCATTCAGGGTCATAATGAAGCTTTCACACCTCTGGGCCTGACCTGACTATCCATATTGTTCTCTTTGTTTGTTTTGATTTAGGTTTGAGGATGGAGTTTGAGTCTCCTGTTTCTGTTTAGACAAGGATTCTCTTTCTTAACAAAAAGAGCTTCTTTAACTCCCCTTTCAAAGCAGTTCTTTTCTCTGGCTAAGATCCCGTAACCCATGGCTTTTAGATGGAGATGACAGCAGACTGAGGTCCTGTGTTGCTCTCTCGTCTGTGTTGATACATCCTCTTTTGAAGTGGCTGTTTTGGTTGTTTTTTTTTTGTCCAGTTGACAAATTAAATTTCTCCTTTGCCATGGATTCTACCTGGACGACTGAGGGATTTTGCACACATCATGTATTTTTAAAAAATTTTTATTTTTTGATTGATTGCAACTTTTTTGGTGGAGAGTCCGTCACCTGTTTTTCTCCATGAAGATGTTATTACTTTGTCTCGAATGTTTCGCAATATGGTATTAAACCTTTCTATCTTCATGGAGACCAAACTAGACCAAGTTAAAGGTCAATTATGTGAAGAGACAACCTCTCTCACAGCCCCAATGCCTGTTTTTGTAGGTATTTTTGAACCATAAACCACCTGTAACTGAATAAATGTAAGGCAGAGCTGTTTAATGTCACACGCAGAGCAATAACACATCCATAGAAACAAGCTGGTGACGGACCCTGAACCAAAAAGTTACATTGTACACCTTTAACAAAACAAAAAACAAGAAGTGACAATAAATAAATAATAAAAAACACTAACGTGTCCAGATTAAACCTGACACATGCCGTGCTGTGGTGGTTAAATATGTAAATTGCGCAGGCTTTGATTAAATGAAAGTAGAGGAAGTTAAAATGACGATCAGTGCACTAGCTGATTGTGCATGTCATTTCTCGGCTGCATGCTTAGAACAGTCTCCATCAATCACGCTCACTGGAATTATCATGTGAAGGCAGACTTAATACACGCCATACATTAGTTAGGTCTGCGGAGCGGCGAGTGTGAGACGAAAAGACAATTAGATAAACTACGGCAAAGTCAAAACGTATGTGTCCCTCTAGTTTCTGTCTGCGATCTTAAAGGTCCTATATTACACAAAATTGACTCTTGTGAGCTTTTGGCCTTGTTTTAATGCTCTTATCTTCTCAAAAACATACTTGCAGTTTGTTTTGTTTCATATTCACATATGTTTGAGTAACTTTTTCATCTCCAAAGTTTAGAAAGCACTGTTCCACCTTGTGATGTCAGGTCGTGGTAGAGTGTTCATGTTAACAGCTCCTTTTACCTTTACAGTCCCTGACAAAAGTCTTGTCGCTTATCCATTTTGTAGAAACAAAAGCTTATAACCTGACTTTAAATTAATCGATTGGTTTTAGAAATGTCTCATATGAAAGCTAAAACCCTCCCAAATTATGCTCAATATACAAAAAAAAAATTGCTTCAATGAAAAAAGATTGATCATTTAATGAACACAGAAAGGTCAGATTTTGGCAAGACAAAAGTCTTGTCGCCTACAGAAAATTGAACAAATAATTTAGTTCAAATACAAAAATATGTTGCATAATGTCAGTGAATGAAGTAGTGGTGCTGTGAGATCCATATTTAATATCTTGTATGACTTCCATGAGCTTGAAGGACGCATCCATGCGGTTCGACAATGATTCATACAATTTGTTGATGAAGTCATCAGGAATAGCAAAGAAAGCGTCTTACATGCCTCCCAGAGTTCATCAAGATTCTTTGGTTTTGCCTTCCATGCTTCCTCTTTCATTCTACCCCAGACCTGCTCAATGATGTTCATGTCTGGTGACTGGGCTGGCCAGTCCTGGAGCACCTTGATCTTCTTCACCTTGAGAAACTTTGATGTAGAGATAGAAGTTTGCGATGGAGCACCATCCTGCTGCAAAATTTGACCCCTTTTATGGTTGGGAATGTAAGAGGTAGCTAATACTTCTTGATATTTTAGGTTATTGATATTTGCCTTCCACCCTGCAAATGTCTCGCACACCACCAGACTGGATGGAACCCCAGACCAGGATTTTTCCACCACCAAACTTAACTGTTTTCTGGGTGAATCTTGGGTCCATGTGGCTCCAGTAGGTCTCCTGCAATATTTGTGGCAGCTGTGATGTAATTCAAGCGAGGAGTCATCTGAAAAATCCACCTTCTGCCACTTTTCCAGTGTCCATCCTTTTAGCAGGCTGTGGGCCTTGGCAAATGCCACACGGTTGTTTAATTGCCTTTTGTTTAGTGCTGGTTTCTGTGCACTGATTCGACCATGGAGGCCATTTCCAGACAGAATTCTACAAACTGTTGTGGTTGACACAGGGACTTGAGGTGACCAGGCCTGGTGGAGTCTGCTGCAGTGGAAAAGGGGCCGGCCTTGGATTTTCGAATCAACAAACGGTCCTCCCGAGCAGTTGTCTTGCGGGGTCTGCCGGACCTGGGCTTGTCAAAAACATCTCCAGTCATTTCAGATCTTTTTCTTATTCTTTGTACTTGATGCTGAGACACATTGAAGGTGTCACCACCTCAGCAGTGGATCTGGTCTTCAGCCTCTTGATAATTAACGCTTTGGTCTCAGGATGGATCTTAGGCATGTTGTCAGAGGTCAAGTTGCAGTTGATGTGAAGGTCTGGTGTGCTGGGGTTCTTTTTATACACACCCACTAATTGATCGATCAGTAACTGATCACAGGTGAGGCTGTAATCTAGGATTGGGTGCATCATATGACAAGGCCACAAGACTTTTGTCTTGCCAAAATCTGACCTTTCTGTGTTCATTAAATTATCAATCTTTCTTCAGTGAAGCAAATTTATTTTAGTATATTGAGCATAATTTGGGAGGGTTTTAGCTTCATATGAGACATTTCTAAAACCAATCAATTAATTTAAAGTCAGGTTATAAGCTTTTGTTTCTACAAAATGGATAAGCGACAAGACTTTTGTCAGGGACTGTAGTTTTATAGAGATTGACACTTTCAGGGTTGAAATCAATCAAATGATTCTAGTGAAGATGTATAGAGTTTAAAAACACAGTGGAGCACTTCCTGTATTAACACATGACATCACAAGGTGGAACAGAGTGTTTTCTGTTTGCGAGAAGAACCTAAATCTACAGGGTTTGTGTATTAAACATGTGCCTATGAAACAAAACACAAATCCATGTAGGGCTGTTCGATTATGGAAAAAAATCATTATCGCAATTATTTTGGTCAAAAATTGTAATAATGATGTACGATTATTCAAATGATTAATTTTTAGTTACACAATGCATTTATTCATTTATTCAAAAAAACAAAACACGTTGTTACTGATATATTATGCAAATCTTTCAAATTGAAAACAAATATAGGCTTCAAATATATACCTAAAAACATAAAAATGAATGTTTGAACATGAAATAAGTCATAGAAAAACATAAATGTATCCAAAATAAACTATATATCCAGCTGCTCTACCTTCTCTTTATTTCAAAAATAAAATAAATATACTATTTCTATTTTAAAAAATCCCCAAATAAACTTTGTATGTTTGTGATGAGGAAACAATTTTATATAATAGGATAGAAAACAGTGTGATATGGGCCCTTTACTGTGTAATGATAAACCTATTCACATGGGGTTTAAAGTGCATATGACGCTTAGACATAGTTAAAGAAACTATGGAAGATTATGCTTTAAAATTTCATAAACTTCACATTTATTCCCAGATATGAGGTAGCCTAGGACTCAAATGAAACACGCCTCACATACTCCTCACATAACTATAAAAATAAAAATACAAACTTATTGTTTTGACTGGGGATACACAATCCATCTTTTTTAGTTCCAATGCCCGATATCAACCAATACCAGAGCAGAGACTGAAAACATCATTTATTTCCTTAGAACAAAAATAAAATAAGACAGAACTGGTCCAAAAGTGTGATGGAGCTGTGATATATCTCTTAAGTAACAACAGAACAGCTTTGTATAAATAAATAGTATTGAAATAATAGTCTTATGACATCAGTGTACTGTATTTTCCGGGTTATTAGGTGCGCTCTTAAGCCTCTAACTGCATCAAAAAATGACTGTGCGCCCCGCAATCTAGAGCGCCCTATACACGAATCCACTCGGGTGTCCCAGCACAACTTCAGTAAACTATAAAGCCGCACCACCCGCATCGCATGCAAACATGCATGGAGCAGACAGCGACTGTGCAGTGAAACACACCCGCAGACACACTCATCACTCCACGCGGACGAGGAATGTAATGAAGGAACGAACCGAAAAAACGAGTCCAATGTGCCACTTCTAGACACAACTGAACAACTGAGTCACTGCGAACACGCCGACAATCCAGAGGTCCCAGACAGCACCCTCCCTACACGCCACAACTGAACAAAGCCCAGAGTCACTGTGAACGCACCAAACAAAGTCTCCACTGACCCATCGAACTGTTCTTCGTTTAAAGTCCGGTGCAGTTTATTTGTGAAAAAAGTTTGAAAATAGACCATTTAATGACAGTGTGTTTTATAATCCAGAGCATCTAATAGCCTGTAAAATACGGTATATGTCTGACCAGGATATCAGCTGAACCGATATTTGAAAGCCAATATCTTTCTCAGTATCGGTGCTGATATCTGATACCATTATCAGATCAGTACATCCCTAGTCTCAGTCCTCGGCCAATCAGAAAAAAAAACAAAAAAACAAAACACAAACCGTCCAAGTAATTTTTCCGTTTGTATTTTTCCAAAAACCTAAAAAAAATGACTGTATGAGGCTAACGATTACTTTGACATGCTGTAGTGGCACTAAGCATTCCCTCATTACAAAGCTGTCGATGTGTGTGTGTTCTGTGTGCTTGTGTGTGTGTGTTCTGTGTGCATGTGTGTGCTCTGTGTACAGTGACAGTGCTCTGTGCAAACACGAGCTGAGCGGAGTGACTCTCCAGTGTGGAATGCTCTTCACATCAAGTGTCTTTGAGAACTCTCGGCAGCAAGGACAGCGAGGGAATGCTTAACAAGGAAGATCGAATTTACAAAGACGGCGCATGTTAGAATGAAGCTGTTGTATTATAGAGAAAGTATTTTTTGTCTGTGTTTTCATATCCACAGTTTAAGGACAGTATTACTTTTTTAAATCGATGTTATAATGTTGCTTCCTCATTGAAAACATACCTGGAGTTGTGATTTGTTTCTTTTGTTCAACACATAAATCCTGCATATTTTCCTGCATGTTTTCAAGCTCCTTAGATTTTCTCTCGAATCATTAATTTCAGACCCAGAATTGCCACACTCTACTGATCAAAAGGTAAAAGGAGCTACTAACTACCATTAAAAACTACCACTTCATGACATGACATGGAACAGAGCAGTTTGAGCTTTGGAGATGTAGACAGACTAATAATAAAAGGTTACTCAAACAACTCCAGGTATGTTTTTGATGAGGTAACAACATTATAACATAACTTAAATCTCACAAGAGTTAGTTTTGTTGGTGCTCATGTTTTTGTTTTTCTTTCAAAATTTAAATGTACGCTGGAATAAAACTTTTAACACATATTATGCAAAATTTACTTAAAAAAAAAATGAAGTCAAAAACATGGAAATGTATTTTGCTTCATTCATGCTTCTTTCATTAATCGTTAGTAATCCAAAGTCATCTACTCTGAGCGCTCAAATGATCTGCGAGCATTTTGCCAGTTTTGTTGCATCGCAGGTAAAACTTCCAGACTTCTCCCTGAAAGCTTGTTTAATGGAGCATGGAATTAAAGCCACAAGACGGCATAATATGTGTTCATTAATGGTGCACTGTGTAACTTTTATGGCGTTAGTTGTCTCTGTGGAGATTCATTGATTTGCAGAGATTGTTCTCTGTCATTTGTCATTAAAATGATCTATGTTCATGGAGAAGCAATTGCCACTACCGGGTAAAGTTACAGACCAGATCTTTGAAGATGCGACCCCACGCATATTAGAATGCATGTTTTTTCAATTTTTTAGAGCAATAAAAGCACCCACAAGATAGATATCTAACATTTAAACCATTATTGGACCCCCTACCAGAAACATTATCTCTTTACAGTTAAAGGAAAACAAATACATGTTTTCTCCCATTATTACCACATTCAATAGAGACAAATAGTGTAATAGTAATTAGGAACTGAATGCACAGTCTTCACGTGAACCACACTTTCTCTGCCTGTAACTGTTGCTATGGTAACTGTGTGTTTTCAGGAGAACAGCGTGGTGCTCCAGAGCAGCGCAGTGGCCTACGTGAGTCTGGACTGTCCGGTCAGAGGCACAGAGACTCTCAGGGCATCAGCGTCTCCATCTCTGCTTCAGCTCACCTCTGACATACACAGGGTAAGGACGACTGCTTCATGAGTTTAGACCATAAAGTTGTCTTTTCATCAAAAACATATCTGCAATTTGAGTCAATGTCTACAGAGCAAAAAGCAAACCATGGAATTTTATATATATATACTTTTTTTAATGTTACACTATGTTCTGATCTATGCTATAATGTTGTTTCCTCTTCACATAACTAAACTGGACTTGTGTTTTTTTTCATTCACACTTGTTAAACACACAAGTCTGCATACTGACGTCTTCTCTCAAGCAGGAAACACTCCATTCCACCTTGTGATGTCATGTGATAATTCAGAAAGTGCTTCACAGTGTTTTTAAACTCAAATGTACATAAACAAGCACATATTTTTTTAAACTGTGTAATGAATAGGGCTGGGTTAATATAAGTTTTTCTTCTTCCCACCCTTTTTTTGTGAAATGTGCTTTTCTGTTGTTTGCAATGTATATGTAGTATACATGATTATTCTTTCACTCTCGGCACAAACTCGGAATAAAAACGAATCAATCAAATAAAATACATCAAATAAAATTGCATACACCTTCACTAGAATCGTGTGGATAATTTAAAATCTACCAAAAAAAAGTATAAGGTAGCTGTTAACTTGAAAACTACAACTACATAACATCACATCACAAGGTGGAACAGAGCATTTCAAGCTTTGGGGATGTAGACAGAATAATAATGCAGGCTTATTCAAGCATGTGTGAATGAAACAAAACACAGCTTCAGATATGTTTTTGAGGAGGTAACAACATTATAACATGGCTTAAATCTCTCAGGAATCAATTTTGCGTAATATATGACCTTTTAAAGCTGCACTGCATAACTTTTCTAGTGGAAGGCCCGCTCTATCTTAGCCAGGCTGGTGCCACCTAGTGCCTCCACCCAATTTCATTTCTCTCCAGCGACTAGATCAGGAATCGGAATACACTAGACGGTTTGCAAGAATCACGGAAGTTGAAGACCGCGCACCTACCAATCAGTGAAGAGCTGTGAAGCCATGACATCAAGCTCAAGCGCCTGTCTGGGTCCCTTTTGTGGCACAGCACAACAGTAAACAAAGCGGTCGAGATGGATGTAGATGAAGCCATACATTCTGTGTTGACAACGATTCCCGAGATTGAGGATTTAAAGCTGGAACGAGAATACTTGGTGAATTTTATCAAGGGGAAAGACGTAATCGCCCTTCTTCCTATGGGATTTGGAGCATTACATACGTCACGACCAAATAGCAGCGATTGGTTAAATTAAAAAAGTACCCGCTTACCGTCGAGCGAACGAATCCTAATGCTGCGAGGTCAAGTAAAACCAGCTGATGAATCAGGCTACCGCTACTTGCTTCTCTCTTGGAAATGTTATTGCTTTGTCTAGAATCTTCCACCATATAGATGGAACATATCTATCACAAAGGAGACAAGCAGGTTACAGCACTGCGCTACATTACTATTCAGATCTGTGGAGAAGGAATTATTGTATTTTTTGTAGCAACAGAAGCACCTGTAATGATGAATAAATGCTAGATATATGTTTAATGTCATACCATGGAACATTCCAGGCATAGAGACAAGTAGGTAGAGGACCCACCACCAGAAAAGTTGTGCAGTGCCCCTTTTAAGATATAAAGCAAATATATATGCATTTTTGCACTTTTAAAATCGCTTTTTGCTCTGATTGAATTCCACCAAGACATTTACAGACACATATTGATGAATTGCAAAATGGTTGGAGAATAACAATGCAGAGAGATGACTCAGAATCACCCGTTCCCACCAAACCTGTTGTTTCATTTCATTTGGGCATGTTTCTGTAAAACCCTGTATTATTTACTCTCTCTGTCTCGTTTTATTCAGCTCTCAGAATCGCCTGAATTCAAGTTCCAACCGCTTCTTTTCTCAGTGCACCCGCAGACACGTTGAATCTGTGTTGAGTGTCTTGCCCTAGGACACAACAACAGCATGCGAGAACCTATTCCTACTGAGAATGAAGATAATCAGAAACTGTAATTAAAATATGTGGCATAAGGTTCTTTGGCAAATATGTTTAAAATGTTGCATAAAATATAGAAATAACTTCACTCTAATTACAAAACAACTCTTCTGCCATCTATTGGTAAAAAAAAAAAAAAAAAAAAAGGGTGGCAGCTTTAAAGTAGCACCTGTATACACCGAACACAAAGATTTTAAAAGATCGTACAGAAGCATTTGCCGATAGCTATCCCAAGACAGATGTTTTTAAAATTCCAAAATATAAGATGAAATTAGAATTTTTGGCCAATTTTCAGTAAGATCTACTTCACTCAGTTACTAAATAAGATATCCAAAATCTACTTTGTGAAGTGTCTTGTGTCTAATGAAGCAAGAAATTTAAACCTGACCATCGGTTTTTCAGATTCATATGTCGCAAATATATGGTAAAGTTTGCCGTTTTTACACATATTCACTCTGCCCTTTAGTTCTCCGGATGCCACCCCTACCCTCCTTTCACTCTTCCCTTTAGTCCTCCAGACCCCGCCCCTCCTCTCTCTTCATTCACCCCTTTAGTCCTTCAGACCCGGCCCTTCTCTTCCCTTTAGTTCCCCAAACTCCTCCTCTTCTTTCCTTTCACTCTCCCCTTTAGTCCTTCAGCCCCAACCACTTCTCTCCCTTTATCTCCCATTTTGTCCTCCAGACCCCACCTCTCCTCTCCCTTTATTTTTCCCTTTAGTTCTCCAAACCCTGCCCCTACTTACCCTCTATTCTCCCCTTTAGTCCTCCAGACCTGCCCTCCTCTCCTTTCACTCTCCCTTTTAGTCCTCCAGACACCACCCCACCTCTCCCTTCACTTCCCCCTTTAGTCCCCCAGACTCCTCATCATCTCTACCTTTTACTCTCCCCTTCAGTCCTCCAGACCCCGCCCCCTTTCTGCCTTTATTCTCCCCTTCAGTCCTCCAGACCCTGCCCTTCCTCTCCCCTTCTTAACCCCTTTAGTCCTCCAGACCTCCAAACTCCGCCCCTCCTCTCCCTTCACTCTCCCCTTTAGTCGTCCAGACTCCTCCTCCTCTCTTCCTTTCACTCTCCCCTTTAGTCCTCCAGATCCCACCCCTTCTCCTCCCTTCACTCTCCCCTTTAGTCCCTCAGACTCCTCTTTTTTTCCTTTCGCTCTCTCATTTAGCCCTCACCCCTCCTCTTCCCTTTAGTCCCCCAGATTCCTCCTCTTGTCTCCCTTCACTCTCCCTTTTAGTCCCCCAGACTCTGCCCCTCCTCTCCTTTCACTCTCCCCTTTAGTCCCCCAGACTCCTCCTCTTCTCTTCCTTTCGCTCTCCCCTTTAGTCCTCCTCCCACTCCTAGTTAGTCCTCAAATTTTAACAATCTTCTCTTCATCTTTTACTGGTTTTGAGTTGGTAAATATTAAATTTCAGCCTTTTATAATATATTTAAAGCTGCACTGCGTAACATTTCTGGTAGAAGTTTACTTGTCTCCATGGAGATGCAATTGTTTCGTACGATATTCCAGAATATGGCATTACACTTTTCGGTCTCCAGTGAATAAATACATCTTTAATACAATTTTGTGAAACATTACAGTTAAAGAAATCGCATCTCCATGGCATCCCTGACCTAAAAATTTACGTAATGCACCTTTAAGTAATTATTTAAGTAATCTAGTGTGATATTGATATCTTTAAATAACTTTTTTTTTTTTGAGTTCACCTCCAGTATCTCACCTTAATAGTACTGAAACGGGTAGACAGTCGACCAATTAGAAACTATTTACTCATAAAACCCGCCTTTCTTACTATAAAAACACAAACTCATTATACCAAGTTCCTTTATTTACTCCCACATGAACAGATGGATGCGTACAGATGGTCGGCTTAAATAACCACTCTGCCCAGAATTATATTGACAAAAAATAAATAAACTAATGAAAATATGGCAATAGCGGGATATTAAAAAGTAATTACCCGCAATCAATTTGAAGATTTTAGTTGCAGCCTCATTTTTCTTCATTACTGCTAATAACATTTAAAGATTTCAGGAAAAAAAAATATACAATTATAGTGTTAAAATAAATGGATACACAAAATTGAATGAGTTGAAGCATTTGTTTGATTTGTCGCCGTGAGGACAAAGGAAAAAAAAATCAAGATTGAGGGATTCAAAGAGACGCGTTATGGCATTTTGTTATTTATGATGGTATTTTTTATTTTAAAAGCGCCGTACCTGAGTTTTACGGTCTTTAAAAATGTGAAAAACAAGAACAAGTTAAGAGTTTTTGCAACGGTCCAAAGTTATTCCTCACTCAGCTTATGCATTCTGATCTTGATAAAGTTGGATAAAGTTAACAACAACTAGCATCTTAACTTGCACCTCCTGACTACTGGACTATAAAACATGTAATTAGATGCATACTGTTTGCAATTATTATTATTATTTTGACTCGAAGAGCTGCTTTTATAATATACCTGTACTAGGGCTTGACAAATTGTGCTCAAATGCATCGGGAAAATCAGGCATATACTGTAAATGTTTAGGTAACTTTAATTTATAGTTCACATAATATAATTAAAATGTGTTTTCTGATACTCGAGTCGTATATTTGACCGTGTAAAAGTACTCTTAATTGAGTATAAGTTGTGGTTTCTCTTCCCACTGTGAGGAAGTTTACAAGTGACAAAAGTTTTATGTTGACAACGTGAAATGATTTGAATATTTGTTTCTTACATCGCTCCTTCAGATATGATTTAGTTTATTTCAAATTTTTGGCCATAATTTAATGTTTTGTTTCTCCAAATACATCAGATGACATTTCCAGGCAGTTACAGGGTTCCCACTCTTTTTCACTGACAAAATTTCAAAACTTTTCCAACTTTTTTTTTTTTTTTTAACTTAAAGTGAATTTTCCATGATTTTACGGCATCTACTTGTGTACAAATATTGTAGGGCTAAATATGAAATGTTAACTCTTTCCACTCACCTTATGGTTTGGTATTATAGTTTTTTAACATTCAAAA